AATCCTTTATCCGTCGGGCTCTACTCTAAGGTACTGGCTCCTCCCTAGCCCGCTGAGCTACTGGCTCCTATCTGGACCCCTGAGCTACCAGCACCTAAAAAGCTCACTAGCAGCACCACTTTGCATGTAATGAGTCATTAGTTTCACCTTTTAAGTTGAATTACTGAAATAAATGAATTTTTGCACAATATTCAAATTTTTCTAGTTTCACCTCTGTATTTTCTATTTTGGTTACAGATTTGCCATAAATGTTCCTCAAAAATGTATTTTTGTTGTTAAAGTGTAAAATATATTTTATGCAAATGTATTATATAAGGTTAATAGGAAACCATATTTCCTTGTTTAAAACAATGCACAGTTGCATCCCATAAAATGATTTGTATAATTAATATAGCCTAATATATTTGAAAATGTATATGTTATAAACATTCAAATGTAGTTATAGTTAATAATAATAATTCTGTTGATACAATAAGGAAGCTACTGATGAAAGTCATGACGAGGAAGTAATTAAAGATGTTTTTAAGGTAATTTAGTGTTTGTGATTTCGCTTTCTCTTCCTTCATCTCTCTCTGTGTTTGTGTTCTGCTTTATCTCGTCTCCTCTCCGACTGTATGCATTTATTATTTATCCATCTGATTTATTTCAAAGTGTTCCTAAAAAACAAATCAGAGCTGCACGGCACCTGATGCTTTATTCATGGACTGGTGCAGCTTTCAGACGACCCACTGGCACAAGGGTTGCTCTTACACAACTCCGGTGTTTCCTCAAAACTGAAGAAATGTTTCACTGTGACTTTCATCAGCCTCAGCAACATCTCAGCCAAACACAACCGGCAACCCTCAACTCAAAAGGCATGTTACACTAGAAATATAAATGTCTTCTCCCTTTCAGTAGGGATAGTTGTTTATCATAATTTTCTGTGAACTTTACAACCCATTAGCCATTTCAGAACCATATTGAGAGCCACAGTTGCTTAGAGACAATTTACACAAGTCACGCACTAAGACAGAAGCTTAGTACTAACTGCTGTTTACACTTCCCTCTTTATGCAGTACAGTACTTTCTACTCTAACTGCACTCTAACACTGCTGTAGCACAGTGGAGGTATGTCACCTAGAAACAACACACCAGTCAACATTTCCAAAAATGAAATATTCTGAAATATTAAAAAAAAATATATATAATATAAAAAAATAATACATAGAGTTATGATATCCGACAATCGTGCTCTCCACTGTCTATGGAGGTGGTTATGAAATATTGTTGTATAAAAAAGACCAGTGTGAAAAAAATGTATTTCCACCACAGAAAAATACTGACAGAATTTTTATTTCGGTGAACTATTCCTTTTAAAGTCATTAAAATGGACAATTCTTATATTTTATGGAATATCGCAGTATAAATGTCTTAGCGATTTCTCCATGCATCTTTCATTTTGCCTCGTAATCTATAATCAAAATAACTTCCCCTCTCTCTTGCAGCAACATCTCTTGTCATGTATGTTTACTGGCATGAGGGCGGGGGAACCTGTCACTCACATGAGATCCACCAATAGCAAACCACAACCATCCAATCAAGTCCCAAAAGGACAAAATCAAGTTCTTTCCTACAGTAGTTTTCAAAATCAAGTCCAATCAAAGTTTTTTCAAACTTTTTCTATATAGTTTTAAGGTCAAAGTGGCTAATTTTGTTTTGGAGTCTCCAACAATATGTTTAAAAGGTCAAAAACACTTTAATTTTCTCATAATATACATTGAAACATCAGCTCTTTTCTCACAGTGTCTGAAACAGTTCGATAAAAGATTCAATCTCTCTAAACCCCTCCTTTCTGAGATCCTGCTCTGCTCTGATTGGTCAGATGGCCCAGTCTGTTGGTCTACCGCGTACAGCGCGTGTCAGAAACCAAGCGACTATTAGCATATCTGTATTTCAGCTCTTGAGTCTTCCTTAGCACTATAAACAGTAACAATGGCGCCAGTTTTACGGTATAAATTCCAGCGCGAGTCTCATCCTTTGGAAGTGCATCAAAAAAGATTTGCTTTCGCAGCAGAAAACAACGTTTTCTCGACATCAACAACACGAAGTAAACTCTTGCGGGTCTCAACTACAACTACTGAGTTTGAGAAAGGGAAAAGTAGATGTTGTTCACCATAGACATATACATTAGACGTCACCTTGGGGTTCTAATCATAGATATCTATATAAAGGCTAGATATCTCGTCTGCGCTGCTGGCCAATGGAGGTCGACGTCAGCACCTGGCGGCCATCTTGTCACAGGCAGCTCGCTCACTGGTAACATTGTTTTAATGGTGCATGTACTTTTTAAATCACCGTAACTTGCTCAATTTTATACCGATTTTCAAACGGTCTGGTTTGTTATAAACGGCAGACATGTAGTTATGATACTGCATACTTATGAATAATAAGTGTATAAATAAATAATCATCCAGAATTATAGCCACGTTAATAACGTTTGTAAGAAACCAAACCGTTTGTAAATCCGTCAAAGATTTCAACGAGATAAGAGTGTTTCTTACATCAGATACCAAAGAGCCCACCAGAAAGCCTGTCTGTGACAAGATGGCCGCCGGTGATGACGATAAAATACTCCGCCGTGAGACATCTAGCCTTTATATAGATATCTATGGTTCCAAGTATGCGTCAAAACCGCCGCCATCTTGGAACAGGGGTCTTGTCATAGGAAGTAACTAGGTAACGCTGCTATCTTTGCCTTTATTTCGAATTCATTGATGGTGGCGGACTTTTGTGCAGCGTATGATGTTCACAAATGAAATCTGAACTAGGAAGAATGTTTAAAAATAAATAAATAAATAAAAAATTCTGGAATCAATGATAAATACATGTCTGATCATTGGAACAAACCAACAACAACAAAAAAAAAGAACGAGAAAGATCGCATTCATGATGATTTATGGTGATTTTATTTCCGTTAGACCTGTGTCTACTTTGACGCTGATGCATTAAAGTGGAGTCCCCTGTTTCAAGATGGTGGCTCTATTTACGCATTCATTCCAATGAACTGCCGTAGCCAAGGTGACGTCTAGTGTATGTCTATGGTTGTTCACAAGCAGCCAATGAAGACAATATACTGGCATCATGCAAATTTGTTACATTACGTAGGTTTGTAAGATTGGAATTACTGACGACTCATTTCAGACATGTTTGAATTGCTATTGTCTTTGAGGAGACAATACATTTATTTGTTGTGCACTTTGGTCTTTAAAACTTTGCAGACCTTTTACATTCACAAACAGTTATAATACACACTGCATTAAAGGTGATATTCGAAAAAGCATAACGGAGGCACTTTAAAATGTCACTGCTACCCTGATCCATCAGTCCAGTCCAGATGATAACGGGACTTTTTAATGTGTTTTGTCAGAGTGACAGAGAAGGGTAAAGAATGGATTTGTTGTATTTCTAGTGTAAACTAAACCGTGGCACAGCTGTGCTTTGGTTCCAAGTTTACTGATTAAATGTGTAATCAGTCAAACAATATAAGACTAGAAGTAATCTGGGTAACATCCCAATTGATAACATAACTAATAAGTCTTACAAGGCCAGTTAAGGAGTAAAACCTTACATGCATGACAGCAATTTTGAATATAAAACAGGTCACAGCGTTATCTCTGTAAACCTGTGTAAAGAAAACACACTCTATATAGTGTGTACACATGTGGCTCTTATCTCATTTATTTTTCAAGAAGGCAATACCCAACCCAAATAACCTGAATGGGAAATCAAGGGAGAACTGGAAACTTTTCTTTAGCTGAAGGAAATTTTGTCAACGGCAAGAGAAGTGATTATCTTCCCTGTGTTTGCAGAGTATGTGGGCAGTTGCAGACACACTGGGACATTCTGGAAGACAGCCTTTTTACAGAAGATAAGATTGGGGCCATCGCGTAAGAATCAGACAGCTATACGCAGGATACGACCACTCGCTGCCTTATTGTTTAACGTCTTTTATCAATGCTTCTACATTTGGCCTATTTTATTTTTACTAAACGATCCAGATAGAAGGACAAACACATCTGTTGGCCATATAACAATATAAGAGTTTCTCAAATGTACTATTAAAGTATCAATTAGTGTAATAAACACATGCAGAAATTATATAGATATATTATAGATAATTACGGTATATAGGACATCATAATGTTCATGTTATTAATCCCTAAACACACAGTTTCCCTGTGTGGGTGAATATATTTTGTATATATATATATATATATATATGTGTGTGTGTGTGTGTGTGTCTATATTGTATATTTTGAAGCATATTCTACTTGTTTTGTCAATAAAAATACATTTTAATGATAATTTAGATTGTGTGTACATGCGAAGGCTGTCAAAACAATATATATAGTTCACAAGAGTAAAGAAACAAATAATCATTTTTTTAAATGTAATGTTACAATTATAGGAAATAAACAAGCCGATCAAAAAAAAAAAATCAATAAATTAAAAAAAATAATAAAAAGATGTGTTCTACCAGAGACTTTGGTCCTACTCTGCCCCCTAGTGTACTATAAAGGCTTCTATATGATGCTATCAGTATATGATTTTTCACATTTTTATTAATTTTTTAACAATTCTATATTTTGCATTAGAATGTGAGTGAATGAGAATGAGATCTTGGATTAGTTTTTAAGATTTTACCTCAGCTTGACAGTTTGTTTACACAGTCTATCGTAGGCTGGGACCTCCAGAATATTCCCGCAGTCCTAAATACGGCTTTGTAATGAATGAGTAGCTTGACTTGAGCAGGCCACAGTCACTGAGGTAATCGTTTCCCTTGCGTCAAAAAATTCCATTCTCACCAGGCAAGTTTTTCATTAAAATAACCAACGCCACAATTGTGTCCGATTGGTCCGAACCGCACGCCCCTATTTATGAAACGCGTCCTGTGATTGGTCAATCGTCGAGGTCTGCCAGAATATTCGCATTTTGATTGGACAGCTTCTGCGTCATCTTGATACAATGTAGCTAGGTTGGTTCTTCCTACTCCCCTTACGTAGGTATTAGTTTAATACATAGATAAGTTAGCGAGATATTAATTTATTAATATTTGTACAGTTAATACTTTAAATTAGTGCACACAAAGCATGCGAAGGGTGACGCTTTTTGTCAACGGAACCTCCAAAAATGGCAAGGTGAGTGAACACACGCAGTACACGTTTAGCCTGGCCAACTCCAGTAAGTGTTGTGTGGACAGACAGAGATGTCCTGTCAATGGCATGAAACTGTATTTCACTTTATTTAATAAAGACACCGAAAACTGTTAGAACTCAAAACATTTAAGTTTTTACTCCCGACGATATGGTTAAGGCCACACAAGAGCTCGCTCTAAGGTTATTGTAACATTATTGTTTATTATTATACGTCGTAAATGCATTTCTGTATTTAACTAGTTAACGTTACGTCAATACATGTATATTGTTTAAATATTAATGTATTGACGTATCTAGTTAATACGTTTAAATATTGTTTATTTTTTTATTCATTTACATACTAAACATGCATATTTCATATGTATTCAGATACATAAAATTTAATATTTATTGAAATATTCTATGATAGTGAAAGATATTGCTTAATTCACAATGCAATGATGATAATTTTAATAAGGATGGTGACACTTTACAATAAGGTTCCATTAGTTAAAGTTAGTTATAGGTATTATCTAATATGAACGAGCAATGTTAATTTTGTTTGTTCATCTTTGTTAGCATTAGTTATTAAAAATCAAACTGGTCCTTTTTAGTTTATATCAGCTCAGGTCCATTAACTAATATAAACAGATTGTCATAATGTATTAATACATGTTGACATTAACATTAACTGAGATTAAAAAATCCTTTAAAATAATTTTTTCAATATTAGTTAAAGTAAACTTGCGTGTGTAGTTTTTAACAAATGGAACCTTATTATAAATAATTATTGGGTAACACTGTATTTCACAGTGTCTATAGTACATTTAGTTTCACAGTGTCTATACTACATTAACACAGTGTACTACATTTAGTTACTATTGTAATAGCAATAAATTACGTGCAGCTTAAACTAATACTACCAAACACTAATCCTAACCCTATAGTCAGTACTGTATATATTACTCAGTACTTAAGTGTATCATTACACTGTAACACAGACACCTTAAAATAAAGTGTAAGCAATTATTGTAATAAACATTCTAACACTGTCTGTAATGCAAACATTGCAATATTAATGCCTTCGCGACTTTGCTTCTTTTGCAGGTTGTAGCCGTCTATGGGACTCTGCCTGATCTTTTGACAGTCGCCAGCAATAAATTGGGAATCAGGGCTTGTAACCTATATAATGGGAAAGGTGGTCTTATAGATGACATTGCGCTTATCAGGTACAGTTGCATCAGCATTCTTCAACTATCATTCATTCATTTATGAAAGACGATGGGAACAATACGAAAATAAGAAAAACAAATTGCTATTTAAACCTGCTTTAAATAAACAAATGAGGTAACAAAGATGACCTGGTAACACTTTATTTCCATGGTCCTCTTTAGACATTCTGTTGACTATAAATTCACATCTACATGTCAACTAAATAATAACCATTTATTCTACCAAATATTATAATCTTGAAGTGAATTTACTATGATTTTATATAAAAGTACATACAATATGCATATTTACTTTCAAGTTATTTGTAAAACATCTTTCAGTCATGATGTAGGCGCCGCACTACTTATACTCAATAAAGTGTACCCGATCACAGCCTTGTACTTGATTCTTGACTGGGATAGGCAAACGAGAGGTATTGTTTCGGATGTACTGACTGGTTATTGTGTGTATTCCACAGAGATGATGATGTGCTATATGTGTCAGAAGGAGACGCTTTCATCGGTGAGCCAACATCGTTTAGTTTTCCCTGTAGTTCAGCCGGTAGAATATGCTGTTTGAAATGCCGAGAACATGAGCTGGATTCCCATAGGAGGGAACACAAATGAACAGCTTGAAGCCATTTTTCATAAAAGTGTAAAAAGTCACTTTTGCATAAAATGTATTATCATTATTCAATGAAACTGAAGGTCAGTGTGTAAAACTATGACTGTGTGTTTCAGATCCTCAGAGCGATGGGAAATTGTCAGACGACATCTCGGGATCACACACTGATTGGCTGACGCTGAATATTGGTGGGCGCCATTTCACAACCACTAGGTAACCATGCAGCATGATTTGCTGTCTTGTTTGCTCACTGTAACTGTCATTGAAATATCAAGTTCTTTTCTATGACTGTAACCACTCTTTGTAAATGAATAAATAAGTGAAAGGAAATAAATCAAAAGGCTGTGATTTGACAATAGTTAAGAGGTGTTTTTAGGCAGGAAGGAAACCATCTAAAGCATAGTAAAATCACAGCAATGCTTTATCTAGAGTGGTTATATAAAGTAAGGAATAATTAATTATTCGAAAATAATGCACACCCGAAGTGGTAGATCATTACACCTCAGGTGTGCATTATTTTCTGATAATTCAATGGACTGGAGTCAGTTATTCCACTTATACTACGGCTACCACACCTCAAGACATTGTTCAGATGTTGTTTTTTACGTTTTTTTTCCCTAAAACTCGTGTGTAGGATTGATTTCTAATCCCACTCCTCCATTTCTTAATTCCAAAACATTATTTTAGAGCTAGTAATGGAGGCTTGAGCCATTGATAGCAGACTAATGCAGTTATTAGAGAGAGAGAGAGGTTGAGAATTACCAGAGTGTGTCTCTCAACACTGTTTGGCAGCGGCGTCTTTACTAATAGCGAAAACTGTACGTTTATCTGCTTCAAGAACAGCGCTGTTCTAGTGAGAAATGTCATGTAGCTTTTAAGTTGCTTAACTATTTTACTGATAAAATCGTCAGAGCAGCTCTGACAACACGTTTTTGTGCGTGTGTGTGTCTGTACTGTATGTGTATGCGTTTGAGTGGAAGATCATTTTTGTTTACTATGGGGTGTCCAAACTCGGTTCTGGAGGGCCACTGACTGTCCTCAACGCATCTGGCTGGACGTTTCTAGTATGCATATTAAGACCTTAATTAGCTGGTTCAGGTGTGTTTAATTGGGGTTTGAGTTAAACTTTACAGGACAGTGGCCTTTAGGGTTGGGTATCGAGAATCGAGTATCGATTGGAACCGGGACTAACTTTTCGTTTTTCCCGGAATCGTTCAAAAGTAAAAATTTCGATTCCTAGTTTCGATATTCACAGTCCGCCGAGCGGAAGAAGAAACCGCTGAACAACATCAATGAAGAAGCGTCTACCGGAAGTGTTGGCATAACCGCGTGAGTCGAACATGAGTAGCTTACGTCGGCGGTCCAAAGTGTGGCTTCACTTTTCTAAAAATAACGAAATCTCGGCAAAATTTGTGACAAAAGGAGTATTTGTGACAGAAGGAGTATTTCCTTCAGAAAGACCGTTGGTTAGCAAGGTTAGCTAAACTTTTTTGACCCTGCCTCTTAAAAGAATCGGAATCAAGAATCTTTAGGAACCGGAATCAAAACAAGGAATCGGAATCAGAATCGTTCAAATTCAAACGATTCCCAACCCTAGTGGCCTTCCAGGAGCTGGATTGGACACCACTAATATAAATAATGCTAAAAGCCTGTCGTTTAGGTGTGTATTTCTGGTGTTTGCTCTTGTTTAAGGAGTACTCTTGTGAGTAAGGAGCCTGACAGCATGCTAGCACACATGTTCAGAGAGAAGGGTAAGTTTAGTTCCCGTACACTCACTGATTGATTTAAGCATTGTTTGTTTTGCTGGTTGTTGCACAGTTATATCAGAGTTCTTTTCCCCCGCTTTCTTGATCTGCAGATGTATGGGGCAATAAGCAGGACGAACGAGGGGCTTACCTCATTGATCGAAGCCCAGAGTACTTTGAGCCCATCCTGAACTACCTGAGGCATGGCCAGATCATTGTCAATGAAGGAATCAACTTACTCGGTGAGTAGGGCCTGAATGTTAAAGTCGGCATTAAACGGAAGTTCAGATTGTCATTTTTTCCTTGTTTTGACTTATATTCGAGTGAAACGGCTTCTGAAATTAGAAAAAAATGTAGAGCGGGGCTTGATTTCGTCCTTCAGGAAATTATTGGATTGTTTAAAAAAAAAAAAAAATGAAGTGCACAGATAAATAATTTATAATACACACTACAATATTACATATAAAAAGAAGATTTGTCAAATTTGATTTCATGCCAACTTTAACTAAAGCATTCGCAGATGATAGTTCTTATCCAGTTCATTATGTATACATTAGATGGTACATTCAGGTTTGGAGTGTAGATTATTGCAATAAAGTTTAATCTTGGAAAATCACTATAATTCAAGGTTTGTTATAAAGCCATGGAAAATTTTCTAAAAATACACCATTGTTCAAGAAATAATTGTAATTAACAACAAAAATATATTCTTGTCATAACCCAAGTCAGTTTTATTCTTTAGTTAGTTGGATGTTTTATGTTTTATAGGAGTACTAGAAGAAGCTCGATTCTTTGGGATAGAGCAACTGGCAGAGCAACTAGAAGTCACCATTAAGGTATTATTATATTTTATATATGTATGATATCATACACTACCTTTCAAAAGTTTTCTTCATCAACTAACCAAGGCTCCAAAAATTATATTAAAAAGAGTATTGTTGTGGAATATTATTCAAATTTAAATAACTGTTTTCTGTTGTAATATATTGTCAAATGTAATTTGTTCCTGTGATCAAAGCTGAATTTTTAGCATCATTACTCCAGTCTTCAGTGTCACATGATCCTTCAGAAATCATTCAAATACGCCTATTTGGTGCTTATTTCTAATTATAATCAGTGTTGAAAACAGTTGTGCTGCTTAAAGGGACACTCCACCCATTTGCATTAAGATTTCCATTGTTAGAAATCCAGTTATACTATTGAAAGGTCGTGCAACAGTCTCTTACTTTCCCCTGAGACGAGAGAAATCCGCTATTTACCCTTTTCACTTCCTCCTACAATGACTCAAAAATCGTCATTTTAAGTCATTGTAGGAGGAAGTGTAAGAGGGGGGGTTCCTATAAAGATTACAAGCACTAAATCTCACCCTTTCAAACCCGCCCATAGGGGGTCGGACCTAATGCGCTAACAGACCTATCACAGATCAGTGCCAGTGCGTTTGATTTCACCGGCAGAAACTTTTGGAAAATATGGACAAAGGTACTGAATACGCAGACGGATGCATTATGGATAGGGTTGGGTACCGAAACACGGTGCCAATAGGGAACCGATTCCGACGTAAACGGTAATAACCAGACTGAATAAGAACAAAAATTTCGGTGCCCGAGTCTCGGTGTCATGAGGCGCACACACGCAAAGTCTCTTGGGCGCACAATGCGGTTTGGAGCACAGTCTGATCTGTCTAGATTCTGGGAGATTTTAACCAATTTGCGGGCATCAGGGAGCCGTTATCAATATGCGGGAGACTCCCGGGACGTCTGATAGCGAGGGGATTAATGAAGATGCCAAAGACAAAACACTCCGAGGTGTAAAAATTACGCGCGGAGTAAGTGTGGCGATTGTCTGAAGCCCATATAGAATCACGCCAATCCATTGGCTGATGGCGCCTTGACGCTCTTACATCGTCTTATTATATTAGCGCGCATTATCTGATTTCATTGTGCGAATTGATTTCCTGGCGGGAGCGTAGAGTGGAGCTCAACTCTAGTCTACACTGATGGGCGGAGCAGTGGGAGTGGCCTGCAGAGCTGAGCATTGCAATGCACTATGGGGATTGTTGTCTACAATCCACAAGCACTAAAAAGTAATTTTCTGCCTTTTATCGGCCAAGAAGGACCCAAATTAGACATTTATGATACTATTCTACAGCATATATGACCCACTTTCAATACATATTCATGTCTCCACCAATGGAATTACCCTGTAATATTTGTATCAATTTTAATCAAAGTCAAAGTACTAATTTCTTCCAAAAATAAAACCTCTTTCTGACCCCAAACTTTTCGAGGTTGTGCATATCATATGCACATGTATAATAACATATTTTCCATGATATGCAGAATTCTCATCCACCCGAAGACCACTCTCCACTCTCACGGAAGGAATTTGTTCGTTTTCTGCTGGCGACACCAACCAAATCGGAGCTTCGCTGTCAGGTAGAAGACTTTAGTTTCATAACTGTTCACTGAGGTGTATTAGTCAGTCTGATGTTGGTACTGAGGTGTCTTTTCCCCTCTCAGGGTCTTAATTTCAGTGGAGCGGACCTTTCTCGGCTGGATTTGCGCTATATTAATTTTAAAATGGCAAATCTGAGTCGCTGCAATCTCACCTATGCAAACATGTGCTGCTCAAACCTGGAGAGAGCGGACCTTTCCGGAGCCAACCTGGATGTGAGCTGACATCTCTCGCTTTCGTTTGACCTTATATGAAGTCTTGCTTGATCACTTTGTTCTGTGCTCTAGGGTGCTAATCTTCAGGGCGTGAAGATGCTCTGCTCCAACGCGGAGGGAGCGTCTCTTAAAGGATGTAACTTTGAGGATCCCTCTGGGCTCAAGGCCAATCTAGAGGGTAAAAGTCCTGCACACAGAATTAATCATAGATGCTAATGGAAATGATGATGATAATGTTGCATTGTCCTGTTACTCTCTGTGCACTTTAGGGGCTAATCTAAAAGGAGTTGACATGGAGGGCAGTCAGATGACTGGTATTAATCTGCGTGTGGCTACGCTGAAGAATGCCAAGCTGAAGAACTGTAACCTGCGAGGAGCTACATTAGCCGGCACAGATCTTGAGGTGAGAGTAGCTGCGTTTACATGGACACCTTTTGTTTTCCAGCTGTTGGAATCCGGGTCTATGTGAACTAGGCTGTTGGAACGAATTCCGCAAATTCGAATATAATTCGAATATTTAAAAAATCAATACTATTCGAATGCTTAAGTTACTATTCGAATATTGCTTTTATATATATTTAAAAATAAATATATACTTCCGAAGTGACCAGGTGTAAACGGCCCCTTATCGCTTTCTTATTAACAATAGGAGAGCGCGGGACTAGCTTTCGCGTGGCACATTCGCAAGGTCTCGTTCACTCCCTCTCTGCGCGCTATTTATGTTATGCGCGGATTCAGGGAGATTTTAACTAATTTGCGGCCATCAGGGAGACGCTATCAATATGCGGGAGACTCCCGGAACTTCCGACGCGATATGACGATCACATCACCTCAGATCTGAGCCCCTATTCATCAAGCCAACGCGCCGCAATCTATCGCAAATCAAAGTGAAAGTAAGTCGCGGACGCTTAACACTACCATCTTCGTTAAAAGTAAAAAACGAAATGATATTACCAGGGCTGTTGCCACTCTCCGTTATTGCTGTTTTTGCTGATTTTGAAATTAGCCGATGATCAATAAAATGCAGCTCAAATCTGTTGCTTTCGGTGACGTGCACTTCATTACATCTGTATATAGCGCGGGAATTGAAGATCGGATTTATATCCGTTTTCCAAAAACACATTTATGTGAGCAGGTGTAAATTGAATCGTGTTGATAAATCAGAGCTATCCGATCTGAGAAAACATGAAGTGGCCAGGTGTAAACAGCCCCTAAATGTTCATTGTAGTAATGTTAGATGTCCCTCTAGTGGGCCGAACGTGTAACAACAACCACAGGCTATAGTGGCATTGACGATCCATAAGAATGTGTAATGTCGTAAATATTAATAATAGGTAAATTTGAGCATTTAATATTCGAATATTAACTAAAATAAGGAATGGACTTCGAATAGTATTATAGAGGAAGATTGACAGCCCTAATGTGAACACAGCTAGTGTTGATTGAAGGTGTTATTCTGTGACACCATTATTGCACTGAAAAACATCTTCTGTAATGTGTGTGCAGAACTGCGATCTCTCAGGCTGTGATCTACAGGAAGCGAATCTGCGTGGTTCGAATGTGAAAGGAGCCATCTTTGAGGAGATGCTGACTCCGCTCCACATGTCCCAAAGTGTGAGATAACCAATTACATCGGTTCCTGCCCAGAAACCTCACCAGCCAGCTATTCCCAGCACTCCCTCACCCCCGACCCCCTTTAAGTTTCACGCTCCCGTGGAACCGTATGCAACACTAGCACTTGGTTTGCCCACCTCTAATCTTTGAGCTTTACTCTCATGCACTAGAGCACATCCAGGGTCTGTAGTCATGGCCAACGTAGCGAAAGCTGACCGTAGAGATTCCAAATATTTGTCAAACCAAACTTATTGCTTTTGGTTTTGTTTTTATGTATGCTTTGTGTTGAACTATTGTTCGATTTTACTGAATGTATCGTTTCATGTTGTGTTTTGTCTCAAATAATGAAGTCAACATTTCAATCAATCAGTACAACCAAATATGTCTATCGAATTTAAGATTTATCAATGAATTTATAGGAGGCTTATTGTTGCACAGCTTATCGCAGGCGAAACAAACCCATATAATAGTAGCCTTTTGTATATATACCTTAAACATCTCATAACTGACAGTTCTGGTGTCAAATATGCAACATAAATATATAGCTCTTATATATTCTGTTTTTACATTTATACATAAACGATATTAATTTTTCGATTTGCCATTTGTTGATCTACCTCCCATATAACCTGTTCTTGTTTTCAGCCATTTGTAGTTATTAAATCCATGCAGTCAGACAGACTTCAACCAAATGCAAACCACATTTTGCTGCGTTCTTGCAAAATTTAATTTTTGATAACTGTGTAATAACACTTAGCCATAGGTTAATATGCACAATAATTAACCAGTGGTGCCAATATGCTATTTTAATCATATCATTTTATAATATGTGGAAATGGTATGCTTTTTGCTTTTCTCCATTTTTTATTTTTCATTGAAATGTGACCAACCCACACCAAAAATTTTAATGGGATGTTTGTCGGGTCATTATCAAATCCAGTGCTTCCTTATAATGTTTATCATGATATATAACGGTCACACTTTACAATAAGGTTTCATTAGTTAACTAGTTAACGTAAACTAAGAATAAACAAAACATTTATTAATCTTAGTTAATGTTCACTTTACCATTTACTAATACATTATTATATCTGTTAACTTAAGTTAATGCACTGAACAAACAATGAGTATTTTTATGAACTAACATTAACAAAGATTGTATTGCTAACAAATGAGAGCAATACAATGTTAACAAATGAGACCTTATTGTAAAGTGTTTCCGATATAAAATATGCTCATCAATCCCACTGTCCGACTTTTTGTGTGTTTGTGTCCAGAAGTTCTGTGTAGTGAGAAGTAGCACATTTATAAAATGATGCTCAGATTATTTGCTGCATGGTTAAATGAAAACCTAAACATCTCGGTCAGAGATTTCTGACTTTTCAGTGTTTTTTTTGTTATAAAACATGCTGTTGATTTTCATTGACAAATGGTATTGTTGGTACTCTGTCAATCCTGTTAAATGAAGGCAATCAAAATAGACTTTTGCACTTTAAGTGTGATCTCTATGTATATCAGACCCTTATGGAAAGGGTGCAAGCTATTTATTTATGTATCAGGCTGTATTTATGTAAGTGGTGGAGGGGAGGATCTATCAGTTCTCTCTTTACCAAACCCTGTTGCACTCTATTACGGAAGTGTGCTTCCATAAATAGACTGTTTTAATCAAAGTCTGGTTGTCTGTCTTTATTTATGTGTGGAGATATATGCAGTAAAGGTTTGGGGTCGGTAAGATTTTTTCTTATGCTCACCACAGCTACATTTATTTGATCAAAAATGCAGTAAATTTATAAATGTTGCGAAATATTATTACAATTTAAAGTAACCGTTTTCTTTTTAATATATTTAAAAATGTAATTTATTCCTGTGATCAAACCTGAATTTTCAGCATCTTTAGACTTCATTGTCACGTGATCCTAATATGCTGGTTAGCTGCTGAAGAAATAATTTCTTATTATCAGTGTTGAAAACAGTTTATGCTTAAAGGAGTTGTTCACTTTTCAAAAAATCTTTGCTGATAATTTACTCACCCACATGTCATCCAAGATATACATGTTATTCTTTCTTCAGTCGAAAAGAAATTAAGGTTTTTGATGAAAACATTCCAGCATTTTTCTCCATATAATAACGTTACACTTCAGTGGGAACCAAACATTTCAAGGTCCAAAAGACAAAGGGCTTTAAACGATTCCAGACGATGAATAAGGGTCTTATCAAGCAAAACGATCGCTCATTAAAAAAATAAAAATAATAAAGTTTAGGTTTTATAAGCTCAAATGGTCGCCTTGCTCTGTTCTTTGTTATTTATTTATTAAATGAGCGATTGTTTCGCTTGATAAATCTCTTATTCATCGTCTGGAATCATTTAAAGCCCTTTGAACAGTTTGCAGTTTGTACTGAAAGTGTCTTTTGGACCTTGAACCGTTTGGTTACCATTGAAGTCCATTATATGGAGAAAAATCCTGGAATGTTTTCATCAAAAACTTTAATTTCTTTTCGACTGAAGAAAGACATCTTGGATGACGTGGGGGTGAGTAAATTATCAGCAAAAGTTTTTTCAAAAGTGAACAACTCCTTTAATATTTATGTGTATATTAATAATGAATACTGTTCTTGAGCAGCAAATCAGCATACTAGAAATAATCGTATCTAAACTAGAGTCTGACTCTCCATCCATGGTGGTCAAATTAATGTGGACACTCAGACAGCAAACCCTATGTGTTCACAAAACTCATACATTTGTTGACAAAAACAAAAACAAGTATAGGTCAAGACTAGCCCAACCAAAACGATTCAATATGCCGCCTAATGGAGGACTTTTATTTTGGTATGTCAATAGTAAGTCTCACAAGCAGGGCTTTTATTTTGAAAGGCCATTCGTTTTGTTGTACGCAGTTGCACATCTCTTTCACTAGTGCTCATGTTGCAGTGTTTTTCAACTCATGTGCAGGTAATGACAGTTTTTTTTTTTGGTTGTTCTGAATTTGAAGTGTCAATTGTTCGTTATCAGGCAGCTAAATGTGTTCAAGAGCTGAACTGATTTAGTCATTAGTGTCCATAACAAATATTAAGTAACTGTTATGTTATGTTTATTTTTGATATGGCTTATTCAAAATATAAGCACGTTTATTTAACACAGTTTTTTAAACTTGCATCCACTTTACACTTCACTTTATATATCACACAACTGCGGTCTATGCTGGTTTATAGCATTTAGGATGGATTCCCACGGAAGTCAATGCACCTGTAGTGCCCATCGCTCAACACCGAGCGTCCATCAAACCCTGGAGGAGATGGACTTTGAGAGAGGTGCTGCTTATGTTCATATATCATCATGTCACACAATATTGGTATATCAAAAAAATGTGAATACTTGTTTGTAGGTATTTGGTCAGCTGCAATGGATGGAGATGTGGAGAGAGTCAGGGCGTTAATTAAAAAAGGAATTGATCCAAATATGAGGGACCAGGCACACTACACTGCTTTGGTTTGTTCATTTTATAATTCACCACTAATGCAATCATCTCATAATTCATAACCCAGAACCTTCTCATTCTTTGGAGCAGCATTATGCCAGCCGAGCAGGTCATCTGTCAGTGTGTGAGTTACTCCTGGACAGTGGCGCTTCTGTGAATGCACAGACTCGTGGCGGGGCGACACCCCTTCATAGGGCGTCTTACTGCGGACACCATTGTGTGCTAAAGCTACTGTTAGACCGTGGGGCTGATCCATGTCTGACTGATGATGATGGATCAACACCACTTCATAAGGTACTACTACTGCTCAACATGGCTATATTTGATGAACTCACCATTTCATTTGACTTAACTCTTAATAGAACTTGATTTTAAAATGTAGGCTCCAAGTAATAGACCTTAGTTAGATGGCATGGTGGATTTAAAGGGATAGTTCACCCAAAAATAAAAATTCCGTCATTAGTTCACTTTAAAAAAAAACTTTTGCGGATAATTTACTCACCCCAATGTCATCCAAGATGTCAATGTCTTTCTTTCCTCAGTCGAAAAGAAATTAAGGTTTTTGATGAAAACATTCCAGGATTTTTCTCCTTATAATGGACTTCAATGGGAACCAGGTCCAACCGAGGTCCAAACGACAGTTAATAACAGTTTCAGATGCAGCTTCAAATGTCTTTAAACGACACCAAACGATGAATAAGGGTCTTATCATGCGAAACGATCGGTTATTTCAAAGCTTATTCCAAAATTGTAACTTTTCTAAGGACAAATGCTAGCCTTGTAATATATTGTGAGGCGCGTTTGCAACGTCACGTAATACGTAATTACGTTCAAAAGGTCACGGGTGACGTAGCCGGAAGTACAGAATCAAAATCGTCCGACATCGTTGTTTTACCTTTTAATTCCTTTTTTGTAAACGCCGTTTGAGTTAGTTTGCACGTTCAACCTATGCGTTCAACTTGTAAACACTGACTCTGCACTTCCGGCTACGTCGCCCGTGACCTTTTGAACGTAATTACGTATTACGTGACGTTGCAAACGCGCCTCACAGAATGGAGAAAGGCTAGCATTTGTCCTTATAAAAATTACATTTTTGGAATAAGTTTTGAAATAACCGATCGTTTCGCATGATAAGACCCTTATTCATCGTCTGGTGTCGTTTAAAGACATTTGAAGCTGCATCTGAAACTGTTATAACTGTCGTTTGGACCTCGGTTGGACCTGGTTCCCATGGAAGTCCATTATAAGGAGAAAAATCCTGGAATGTTTATCAAAAACCTTAATTTCTTTTCGACTGAGGAAAGAAAGACATGGACATCTTGGATGACATGGGGGTGAGTAAATTATCAGCAAAAGTTTTTTCAAAAGTGAACTAATCCTTTAACTCACCCTCAAGTAAGACTTTATCATATAAAGTGATCGACGCCCTTAAACCGCTCAATTCAAATGGATTAGTTTTACGATCTCTTTATGAACTTTCTGAAGCGTCAAAGTGGTAGTTGATTAGCTGTCAATGGTTGAACAGAAAGCTTTTTTAGGTTTGGAACGACATGAAGGTGAGTAAATAATGACAGAATTTTTATTTTTGGGTGAACTATTCCTTTCATGCAGGTGAAAACAAGGCAGACTTGCAATCTTAAAATGGCTACTGTGTAAAGGTCCTAGATGATATATTTTCAAAACTGTTTTTTTTTTTTCTTTACATTTTTTGGAAAGCAATTCATCAGCTGGACAATGAATGTTGTTAAACAACAGCACAATATGTTGAACACACTGTAATTTTACCCCACGCAGCTTTGATAATTCCTCTCAAAAGTTAAACATGTCACTACCCTGATTAAGGTCTATTCATTTCCGTGGTTGTGATTGTATATGCACACAGGCTGCTGAACAGAGGCATTTCACGGTTTGTGAGCTGTTGGCGAAACGCTTCCCGGCCTTGCGAGTTGTGAAGGATAAAAGATCATGCACACCATTCGATCTCTGTCCGGAGAAGGACCAAGTTTGGGAGTTCCTGAATGACCCTATCTAACTTACAGTCTGAAATGCTTTTTCATTAAGGATTATGAAGAACATATTTAAAAAAAACTATGTCAATCATTGTGTCTAATGGTTTAAGGTTATAGAAATCTGGCACCCGATTGAATGAAGTTAAACTGAGAGAGCATGCGTTCACAGACACCAGAATGAACGAGTTCACAGTAACGTTCATCAGATTCAGGCAGTAATAGAGGGTATGCGCGTGACGTCACCGTGGGCCGGAGTGCCTGCAGTTACTCACAGTGAGTGGCAAAAAGACTGAGCGGCTGTATATGTTTTCAGCGTGAATGCAAAAAACAAACACAACTAATATAAAGTATGAAAGAGCTTTGCGATTGACTGTACAACTAGATTTGGCAAAAAAATGGAGGTATATTTTTACAGACTGCTATAGAAAGAGAAGCAAATGGATCGAAACAACTGGACTCCAGTCAGCCAAAGGTGGATTTGCAGTAGAGCCAGACCGATATATCGGCAGGCCGATATTATCGGCCGATATTAGGCATTTTCAAAAATATCGGTATCGGCAGTTATAATGGCCGATAAATGAATATTTCAAAAATAAAATAAAAATGGACGAATCACGCATCAACCATGTCGTGTGTTGTCAAAAAGTGCAGGTAAAGGGAATAAGCAAGTTGACATTGTAATTATAAGGTAGCTTATAACTTTTAGGCAATGTAGGGACTAATTATTATTTTATTTATCAGAACTTTAATATATTTTGATGTTCCTCTGTTCTGTTGTGACAATAGAAACAAGTTTCTTTTTAAAATGCATTATCATATTATTTTAGTTAAAACTCATAAATAAATAACTAATGTTAGGGAAATCTGTTAATATTTTGTTGCACGTTTCTGAAATAAAAATAATATCGGCCGATATATCGGAATATCGGATTTTAAAGCCAACAAATATTTGTATCGGTATCGGCCTTCAAAATCCTTTATCGGTCTGGCTCTAATTTGCAGTTATCATTTTGTGTCAATATGCTGATTTTAGCTGTAAAACCATACACATATATTTTGTATTGTTATATATATTAACAATTTATCAGTTAAATATTTATCATTGCATATTCTGCATTATTGGATGTTTTTTAATAAACACTGACCAAAAAAAAAAAACCCCTATAAGTTTTAGGGCTGGACGATATGATATATAACACTGATCACCTGGATTTAGACCTACCTATATTGTATTTAAATAAAGCGTTCACAGGCAAATTTGCTTCATGTTTAGGTCTATATTGCTTTTATTTCCCCGGTGTCGAAATCAGGCAATAAATGTCACGATTCCTGGCTGCATGTCAATATCCATGGATCACTGGATCTTTAGTAAGTTGTAGGGAACACTATATTGAGTCCAATGTTTAGTTTAAATTGATAAAATTGTTCGTTTTAGATGCATTTTCACAGTTTCCCCTTTTAATGGAGAACTCCGGCGCAAAATGAACCTTTGGTCTAATTACACATTGTTACCTAGTCAACCATTATCTGAGATTTGTTTTCATGATTGCCGAATGTAAATAGTTTTATCTCTAAAAACAGTTTAGCCTATAATGCTAGTATAACGCCAGTCTATAGGGCATAGAGTAATGACAAATAAAAATCGCTTGTTATTACCACTAACAAGGCTCAAAATAGCCCCACACTAACACGACAGCATAATAAGGGTCCCTACATTCAAACCGAAGCATTGAGAACTTTGTCAGTGTCCATACAGTTTAATAAGCAGATATTTTATACACACAGTCAACTTCGCGAATACAGGAAGAAGCCATCTTTGAAAAGTAGTCTCTACCAGTCGATCTACGAACGCCGACCCAAGTGCGCTGAACTGTGCAGAATCTCATAAAGTAAAAATTCAATACAATTTCTCCATTGACATTTGAGATATAAGCCATAAAAACGTAACCATACGTGGTAGACTTAAAACCAGCTACGGCTGTACTAAGTGATTGCATACACTGTAAAAATGAATATTCTTTATCTAATCAATAAAATTGTGGCAACAGATTACAAGCAATATTATTTATTAAATTGAACAAATTACAATTGAGTAATAGTTAATCAAATTAACATTCTAATTAATTCTAATTTGTACAATTTAATTGATAATATTGCTTGTAATATGTTGCCACAATTTTATTGATTAGATAAGTAAGCATATTATTTTTTTCAGTGTATGCTCCTATAAACGCCAAAAGTTCATGGGGCACTAAGCTTGTTTTAAGATAAATGCCTTTTATTCACGATGTATTGGATAAGTACTTCATCATTTGTATTAGATCAGTACGTCATCTTTAGAATATTGTCTTTGAACTTCCGTTTTTGCGGTCGCTCTGTATATTTTTATGGCATCGCTGTCAAGGAGTAATTAGCTGGTGAAGTGGATTTACTTATTGTAGAGTTATGTAATGTAATGTTTCTCATAAGCATTGTAATGCAGATGTCTTAACAAATGTCAACCGGGACATTTTTTTATGAGCAGTTCATTCATACCTATGCAAGATCGCTGTGAAAATACAGACCGGAAGTCAAAAGACAACGAGCGCAGAGCTGAAAAGGGGCGGGGCTACACAAGGCCTATAAGTTATAACAGTGGATCGACAGATTTGAAGTGTTTCCCCTTATTACAGCGACTTGTTTGTGCATGTTCTGCAGACAGGGTGACCATCCTCGATTAAGTTTCCCTCAGGACTTTTGTAAAAACCAAAATATGACCACACCTCAGATTTGGTCCTCTTAAAAGGCTGGAAAATCTCACTTCCTTCCGCCATTCCTTCTCGAATAAAAAAATAAACAACTTTGCACGCTTGCGTCAGACTGTGGACATGATGATTTATAGTGAAATCATCCCTATATCAGACTGATCTCATGAAGTAGCGTGTGTATGACACGCCAATTCGTATTTCCATTTTTGCCGTGCTTTCAACACGCATAATCGCTTTTCAGCGTGTTTATGAACGCCGTTGACTTAACGTTATTACTGTATATATAAATATATGACTTCCCTCAACCCCGTCACTGGGGTTAATGGCATTTATGAGTGTACCCATACCATCCTAGGAAAAAAAAGATCGCTCCCCAGATGTAGATCTACATTTTGCTTCGTTTCGCTCGGACATTTGATGTTATTTGATGACAATGTGTGCTACGCCACATTAATGGCGTAGACATACATGCATACACGCGAAAAGCTCAAAATGGGTAGAGATAACACGCCACTTGACTCGAAAGTGGCGTGTATGTTTACGCAAAAGTCATGATGTCATGTTGCCTATATGATCAACAAACAGTCTTGAATCCGTGGCACGTTTTGCTGGATGCTAATTCTACAAGGAGTGAGCAAGGTTTGTCTGGTTAGCATGAACAGTTAGCCACTGATGGTGGACGTTTCGTGATCCAAAAATCTTTACTTGTTGATGGCCTTGCTAAAAGGATAGTTTTCTCCATAGTGCGAGTGTGGTAGAGTCCTGCTAATGTTCACTGAATTAAGAAACCCGGGATTGATGCTTCTGGAGAACTTCATAAACCGCTGTTTCCAGCACCGGAAATCCTATATGAAGATGATAAACTGCTTTAAAAATGTTTTCTTGGCACACACTAGTTACAGTCCAGATCAATGTTGAGTTATAACCGCATAGCAAAGAGATTTCAAAGCACGCTTTGTTGCATTAAATAACAACTCAGGGATTGTTGAGCAATCCATCCAAGTGCTCCAGCGGTCCCGGTGGTTAACAAAGGATATCCAGAAAAATACCTATATTTAAAACTTAATCGACTAAAATAACTAGCTTTTGGGGTTTTGTGGTGTGGTGAGCCATTGGTTCTGACCAGGGGTACGCACAAACACCCGTGTGTTCGTGATGGAGGTGGAGTCAGACTGCCAACTGAAATTGGTTGTTAGTCTAAGAGTCAGTCATAGTGATAATCTTCACAAAATATTTAGGACGAATACATCTGTCAGAGGGAGAACCGTGGAGCTTCGACCAGTGAATATTTGGGAGCCAGTTATTTTATGAACATCTGAACCTGAGCTGGAGTTGTCTTGATTTCAGAAAGAAAAATGTGAGTACACAAAATGGACTCTTATGTTGGTTTGTAATAAAAACACATGCTCTTCTGTTCCGTTGAATTTGAATAATATTATTATTATTGATATTAAAGAGACGAAAATGGAGTATCTATGTATATGTTATGTTCTATATAGCACAAATAAAGCACATGCAAAGTAGATATTAGATATTGATATAAGGTCATAAAAACTGCTTGTATAATAATTATTTTGAACACAGAAAGCATATAAGTCCTATTTTGTGCATTTCCAAGAACTTTTGAAATCTGTGGAAAATAAAAAGGTTCTCTATTCTTGCTTGATATGCGACTAAATAAATTATGCAGGTAACCAATTCTTAACCGTTTGCTACTTATGTTTGAACTGTTGCTTTATTTATTGTTGCTCTAATTAATTATCCAATATATCACAAATCCATCAGATAGGTCAGCTGACAAACTTCCTCCACTTTACATCATTTTGATTCATTTTGCAATCCTCTTTGATTGTTCTGCCCTTACACACACCAACACAGTCTCATGAAAATGCGTATCTATACCACGAATGTAACTTCTTGTGGCATTTATACGCCAAAAATGGTTTTTGCGTCCATACGCTATGCACTAAAAAACCCTGGGGTAGGTTTAGGGGGGAGGGGGGTGGGGAGTTTGTGCGTATTATACGCCAAAAAGTCCATATCATATGCACGCGAAAAACGCATACCATATACACGTAAAAACTGTTTTTGGCCTATGGCACGAGAAATGACATTCGTGCTATAGATACGAACTTTCATGAGATCGGGCTCCACACACACACACACCACACATTTTCACCATGAGTCAGTTTTCCCAGAAGAATAAAACAGGAAATGGTTTGGGCCAAATAGCCCCCTTATTTACTGGCAGTCTAGCAACTGGGCCAGCTTTAACCGCCAGTTTGTGGTTAAAAGGAAAACAAAGGAAAATCTTTTAATATTTTATATCAACTAGGTCATAAACTTAGCCTTTATTGTTATTTCATTTTCTTCCAGTAACCATACAGTTTCTCTTCCCAAATTTCCCAAAAATTCCAAAGCACAAAGTCCCTCTAAAGGTAGTTATTCTCTAAATCTCTATATATGTCACTGTTTCTAAACTCCCTGAAATGCCAAGATGATTGACAGGGCAGTTTAAACATGTACTACAATGGGACGTAGAAACAAACACGGAATCAAAATGGATGAACGGCTAGTACTGTCGAAATTTCCTGAGCTGTACGATACAATTTTGACATCGTCAGAAAAGCTGTGTCATGGAGACCTATCTCCATTCAAGTTGGCTTGTCAGGTGTGTTTTAATATTTGTATAATTTCTTCCTTTGTTGTCAGATTTAATGTTTGAATAAATGTTTTATTCTAAAAAAGAACTGAGCTCATGATTCGTGTGTTGATTTCGATTTTATATGTGTACACGCACACACATATATATAATATCATATGGCATAGCGCAGCACAAATCACATTGTGTCTGAAGGGCAAGATGTCCTACAAGATGGCTGAGCTCAATCAGTTTCCAGGTCATAGAATGGAGAACGGAGGAGCGAGGAGACGAGGAGGGATATTGAGAAGCACCCCTGTTTAAACCCTTTACAGTGCAGATCTGTAAAGTTATTTGGATTTTTACAACATTATTGTTGAAATACACAGTCCTGAAAAAGGGACGTTTCTTCTTTTTTTTTTTTTTTTTGCTGAGTTTATAAGTAGGCGAATTGGGATGCAGCAGCAGGCGGGACATTTCCCCAAAAACGCTTTAAGCGGTTGACCAATCGCAATACACTGGTCCAGCCGACCAATTAGAGCACACTGTTCTCTTTGGAAGGAGGGGCTTCAATGAGACAGGAACTAAACAGAGCGTTACAGACAGACTGGGAAGAGAGGTGCTGTAACAATGGAGAAAATGAAAATAAATTATGTTTTTTCAGGGCTGACCGGATGCAGAGAGAATCCTTGATGATAATGATGAAGAAAACCATGATGCTGCTGATCTTAGTACTCCTAACTCAGCCTCTTCAATCACAAAGCAGACCAGACATCCAAGAGGAGGGTACGTTTTTTTAAACAAAATCAAGTGAGATCATTCTCACCTATCTAACCGGCAATTCATCTTTGCAATCGTAAGATCTTTATATTTATATGACTTTTGTTGTGATTGGCTATAACCCTCATCACAATCATTCAAACATCATTTTAAGCTTTGTTTCAGTAAATTAAATAGTGTATAGTTGCAGGTTAGGAGTAGTTATGATGTGGATCTTCATACAGCAATTTATTAAAGAAAGACAAGCAAATAATCCAAGATGAAGACGATAATTCAACAGCACCTAAACAGACAATAAAACAAAGACAACAAACAAAGAAAGACTTTCACACAGGGCTAGAGTAAAGAAGAAACTAAACACGAAACAGGTGAACATAATGAGTAACGCATCTCCCCAACAATTTCCTCCTCCATAATGTTCTTTTCTTTTTCTCCTTTTTGCTGCAAATCAGCGCACAGACAAGTTTGATCGCAAGCTTCTTGCAGGCTATCATTTTTAATAACAATAGCTGCAGACGTGCGATGGCGACTACCAAACTACCTGAGTGCAAGGAATTGTGGTAGCTAAGTTAGATGGAAACAAACCAGCATGGCGGACCTTACGGGGCTTAATTAATAAACCCAGTCAGTTAGGATTAAACAGATAGGACAAACCACATCTTATATTTCACCAGAGATCTGTGCATTGGTATGAATGCAGCTGATTGAATCTCCCGCTATGAAGTCATCAGTAAGATTCCCAGCCTACTATTCAATGAGAAGATAAACAGCTTGAAAAATGATTGCATATTAAATCGCAATCGCAATATTGGTGAATTTTTTTTTTGATATTTTCCAAAATCGTTCAACCCTAATGTGCACACGGCAGCAACTGAATACTTCCCCAGATAGCCATGCAGTGTGATAAGAACAGTGATCTGGCGACTAGTCTTTAGTACAATCACACTCCTGTAACGTGGGCTACACTTATTTTTGCTTTGGATTACTTTTCTAAGATGGTCATTCTCCTAATATTGTTCACATTGTAGTTTCATTTAGTTTCGAAACAGTAGTTTCAAATGCCTCTTTTATTTTTCCCCATCTTATTCTATCTGTTCCTCAGCAATGGCTCCAGTTTGGACTCATCCTGATAAGATGGAGAATAAGCTCCTCGAGGTTCCCGCCAGCAAAACGGTCAAGTTTCGTTGCCTGGCCAATGGTAACCCTACACCAACTCTCAAGTGGCTCAAAAATGGCAAAGAGTTTAAGAAAGACCAGCGAATCGGAGGCTTCAAGGTGAGGGCAACTGGAAAAAGAAACCATAGAGAAAAAAAGCATGCATTAAACTCTCAATCAGACACCTGGCATTTTCGATTACTTCATGGCATGCTGCTTTCCTTGTTTATCAAAAACATTATTACATAATTCTAACCTGTTTGCTGTGTTGTACGATTGAATTGTAGTGAAAGATTGTGTATTTCAGTTAACTTTAGTCAGATGCATTTACATTGTTACTGTGCCTCAAGATGCAACCAACTCTATCTGTGTCTGTAAAGGTGTGAACCAAATACAACTGATGAAACAACATTGCTCAGAGTAGATTGTAGTGTTCATCTATCTACTGACCGGACCGTTTACTATTGTCTAGCCCTTTGGTCTTCATGTATAAAGTTCTGTCACTCAGACTTATTTGAAGGACGACATGCTAACATCGCAGCTTGTTACGTACTCGTACGCATTCAAAGTGTTGCAATATGGATATGTGTGGTGAAACTCCGGTAAAGAGTGGGATGAGTCCCGTTAGTCTTATTTGGTGTTGGCAAAACCCTTTGTTTTAGTCCTGAGGATCTAGAGTTCGGACATGCCGTGCGTGGTCCACTAAAAGTTTTAAAAGAGGGAATGTTGCGTGAGGCTGCCGAACCTAAGGAAAATATACTGGATTATGTTAGCCGATTCAGAGAGCGCTTGCATACTGCGTGTATGCTTGCAAAAGAACATCTGTCTTTAGCTCAGAGGAGCATGAAAAAGTATTTCGACAAAGTCTGTTACTCGTGAGATTAAACCTGAAGACAAAGTATTGATACTTTTGCCAGTCCCTGGTTCTGCTCTGTCTGCTCGATTTGTTGGTCGATACGTGGCATCTAAAAAGTTGAGTGAGACCGATTATGTTGTGCATACTCCAGATCGGAAACGGAAATTTCGGACATGTCACGCAAATATGTTAAAGTTGTATCATTCCAGAAAAACATCTGAAGAAATAGATAATCTGAATTCTAATTCTGTTGCTTCGTCTGTTGCAGTTGTTTCAGCACCCACTGCCGAGGATTGCGAGGTGATATCGCCATCTACTGGTGAATTGTTTGTTGATGATGGCGTTTCCCTTTATAATGCTCAGGGGTGTGCCAGACTGTCTAATTCTGAAATACTACAGTCATTGCCATTGTTTCTATCTGATTTTATCCAAAGCCCAGAAGCAGGATGTTATAAAAGTAATTTGTGATTTCCCTACGCTGTTTGGTGATATTCCATCTCAAACGACTCTGTTACAACATGATATTCAGATCACACACAATTGTGGACATGGAGTGGCCTGATTCTCACTCTCCACCATAAAACACACTTTTCTTTTCACACTTGGTGCTGCTCTTAAAAGACAATCAGCCTTCTAATGCATGTTGGGATCCAAGTGAATCTGTCTTAATCTAAAATTGAAGAGCTCTGAATCAGATTCACCTTTTTATTTAAATATAATTGGTACATTATGAAGCTATGTTTATTTTTTCCCTCCTGGAAACTGCACTGATTGGACATCCTGGTATCATTCAAAGCTCTTATCTGTTACTGCACAGATTCAGGAGAACATGGGGACCATCATAATGGAGTCGGTGGTGCCGTCAGACAAAGGCAACTACACCTGCCTGGTGGAAAACAAATACGGCAGCATCAATCACACCTACCAGCTGGACGTAGTCGGTCAGTCTTATTTCTTGTGCATTTTAAAAGTTAAAGGAGAACTCCGGTGCCAAATGAACCTTTGGTCTAATAAAACATCGGTACCTAGTCGACCGTTCTCTGAGATTTGTTTTCATGATAATCGAATGTAAAGAGTTAAAACTGTTTAGCGTATAATGCTAGTACTGGTGGCATTGACTAAGTAAAAAGAAATCGCTAGTTTATACCACTAACAAGACTCAAAATCGCTAGTTTATACCACGAACACAGAAACATAATGAGGGTCCATACATGCAAACCGAAGCATTGAGAACTTTGTAAGTGTACAGACCGTTTAATAAGAAGATACTTTAAAAAAACAGTTCCTCGCGTATACGGACAGGAGCCATCTTAGTCTCTACAAGTCGATCCCTGAACTCCGTTCATACAGTTCAGAAGTTTGCTGAACTTCATACGGTTAAAGGATTAGTTCACTTTTGAAAACTTTTGCGGATAATTTACTCACCCCCATGTCATCCAAGATGTCCATGTCTTTCTTTCCTCAGTCGAAAAGAAATTAAGGTTTTTGATGAAAACATTACAGGATTTTTCTCCTTATAATGGACTTCAATGGGAACCAGGTCCAACCGAGGTCCAAACGACAGTTAATAACAGTTTCAGATGCAGCTTCAAATGTCTTTAAACGACATCAGACGATGAATAAGGGTCTTATCATGCGAAACGATCGGTTGTTTCAAAACTTATTCCAAAAATGTAACTTTTCTAAGGACAAATGCTAGCCTTTCTCCATTCTGTGAGGCGCGTTTGCAACGTCACGTAATACGTAATTACGTTCAAAAGGTCACGGGCGACGTAGCCGGAAGTGCAGAGTCAGTGTTTACAAGTTGAACGCATAGGTTGAACGTGCAAACTAGCTCAAACACCGTTTACAAAAAAGGAATTAAAAGGTAAAACAACGATGTCGGACGATTTTGATTCTGTATTTCCGGCTACGTCGCCCGTGACCTTCTGAACGTAATTACGTATTACGTGACGTTGCAAACGCGCCTCACAATATATTACAAGGCTAGCATTTGTCCTTAGAAAAGTTACATTTTTGGAATAAGCTTTGAAATAACCGATCGTTTCGCATGATAAGACCCTTATTCATCGTCTGGTGTCGTTTAAAGACATTTGAAGCTGCATCTGAAACTGTTATTAACTGTCGTTTGGACCTTGAACCATCCGGTTCCCATTGAAGTCCATTATATGAAGAAAAATCCTGGAATGTTTATCAAAAACCTTAATTTCTTTTCGACTGAGGAAAGAAAGACATGGACATCTTGGATGACATGGGGGTGAGTAAATTATCAGCAAAAGTTTTTTCAAAAGTGAACTAATCCTTTAAGATCACTCAGCATGTCGTTCGTGATTTGACTTGTCGAGACTGTTTTCCAAAGATGGCGCCGCCTGTATACACGAAGTGCACTGTCTTTATAAAGTATCTTCTCATTAAACGGTCTGTACACTTACAAAGTTCGCAATGCTTCGTTTTGCATGTATGGACCCTCATTATGTTTCTGTGTTAGTGTGGGGCTATTTTGAGCCTTGTTAGTGGTAAAAACTAGCGATTTCTTTTTGCTTAGTCAATGCCCCCATTAGCATTATACGCTGGACATTTTTTAGAGATAAAACTCTTTACATTCGATTATCATGAAATCAAATCTCAGAGAACGATTGACTAGGTACCGATGTTTTATTAGACCAAAGGTTCATTTTGCACCGGAGTTCTCCTTTAAGTTGATGTAAATGTCATCTACAAGGACAAGCACATGTATTCTTGTGATGGTGTGTGTTAAATGATCCATTCCAAATGGAAAAGTGTTTACGTGAAGCAGTGAATTCAGATGTGTTTGAGACATGGTTAGTGTCTGAGATTAGAGTAAGTGGAATTAGGCATCAAGGTATCAATCAAGTCCAGAACAGCCAATCAGTGAACCCATGTAGACAGAGGCAACTGTGCCATACACAGTTTAATCATCTGCACCATACACACCATTGGAATTAGTCACTCTCACACAAGACACTAATACATTTATGCCATTAAGACCTCCTAGAACAATCAGAGGTTATAATTGTAATAGGACATCGTGTGCAGGATTTTGATCAAGGTCATTATTTTTTTGGGCAAGGTCATTATACTTTTTAAATGTAATTTGTAAGTGAGAGTTTTCAAGAAATGCAAGTGGAAGAACTCATTTCCAATGAGCCTATAGGTTGCAACATTTCCATGCAGCCAGAGTTGTTGGAAAAAAGTTTAGTTTAGTTTTGTCGCACAACAAAAAAAAGCTTTATCTATTCATCTTCAGCAATACCTAAAATGTATAAAAGTTAAATCAGGGATCAGCAACTTAAAAAAAGTTCCTCAAACTTGCATACAGATGCACATTTTGGGGTAATCATTCCTCAGTCACACAGCCTATTTTATTAAGTTAGGAGGGTAACACTTTATTTTACAACCTGCAAACAACTGTGTAAGGACACTGAAATTACGATGTACGTTTCTGTAAATATAGTGTACTTCCGTGTAGGTATAAGGGAACAATATAAGTTTGGGGTAAAAAGGGGGTAACAAGCACCACTTTAATTTACAGCCCGCAGGAGTTACACTTACCCTGTAACTACACAGAACAAGGGGGTAACAAACGCTACTTACAATGTAGCAATACGAAACAACACGCGCTGTAATAATTACAGAGAAAGGTACTGTTATCAAAAAAAAAAAGTTTTAATTACACAGTATATTTGCCCTGACATTTAAGTGTCATTGCAATGCAATGGGATAACGTAAGTACTAATTACGGTTACCACATGGTAAGGTCTAAATTAAAATCATAGCAAAAACAAATTATTTTGACTTAACATTAAGTAATCTAGTAAGAAAACCAATAAATTTAATGTATCAAAGTGCATATATATATATATATATATATATATATATATATATATATATATATATATATATATATATATATATAAATGTGTGTGTGTTTAATTTTTAACCCACAGATGTCAAAATTACCCTGTAACATTACACAAGAACATATTTTGCCAGAAATATGATGTTTTATATACAACAGACGTACAATTTTTGCCTGGAATATATTAACAGAATAGGTACCTGTTATTTTTTAACTAAATAAATAATTTTCTTGTATATCTGCTTGTTACCCCTTTATTACCCCAAACTTAACATATTGTTCCCTTACGGAAGTACACTAAAATTACAGAAACTTACACCGTAATTTCAGTGTACTTACAAAGTTATTTGCAGGTTGTTTATCTGTTTGTTACCCCTTTATTACCCCAAACTTAACATATTGTTCCCTTATACCTACACGGAAGTACACTAAAATTACAGAAACGTACACCGTAATTTCAGTGTACTTACACAGTTGTTTGCGGGTCGTAAAATAAAGTGTTACCGTTAGGAGCTATAAATACTATTGCACTCTACTATACACTCCAGCAATATTTCACTACACTCACACAAAAAGCGCTCTCTCGATTTCTTTAAGAGGGATGATCAGGGAAAGGAGTGAAACCAATTTATGTGTGCTCATTTTAACCACACTAGATATAATGTTTGTGTGTGTGTGATACAGAGCGTTCACCGCACAGGCCCGTCCTCCAGGCCGGTTTGCCTGCTAACCGCACCGCAGTGGTGGGAAGTGACGTGGAGTTTGAGTGTAAAGTCTTCAGTGATCCTCAGCCACACATCCAGTGGCTGAAGCACATCGAGGTGAACGGCAGCAGAGTCGGCCCTGACGGACTGCCGTACATTCGAATCTTGAAGGTAAAACTTCTTTACTAGTCTGAGATTGACAGAAGTGTGCCTATCAATTTCAGCTAAAATTTTCATGTTCCTACACAAAATAATATAGTAACACAGTTTACAATATTTGTCAAACAGCGAGTAAAAATGAACAACTCGTTGTCAAAACTCACTCTCCTCTGGTGGGTTTTCTCAAATCTCTACGGCTTCTTTTCTCTAGACGGCAGGCGTCAACACTACGGATAAGGAGATGGAGGTACTGCAGATCAGGAATGTGTCTTTGGAGGATTCTGGAGAGTACACCTGCTTGGCTGGGAACTCTATCGGCCACTCCCATCACTCTGCATGGTTGACTGTCTATAAAGGTATCTGTGGTTCTTGCGGTGTTGTTTTTGGTTGATGGTTTCATATCCCTTTTTAACAGAAGTAGTTTACATGCACTCAGATAATCTGTTGGATTATCACGTAATCAGATTGATGGGTCAATCAGACCGAAAAGACTTCATATAAAATCTGTATGAGCGCGATCCAAATTTAATTTCAATCGTATTGAGATGGGTGGTGTAAACCTGAAAAATCCAAATCAACAGGAAAAAAAATGTAACGCCTGAATTTGACTAATTTTGAATCCTTGCGTACATCATGCACATGTTACATGCATTTTACATCATACAAATATGCATATGATTTTTTTATGCATCATGTCGAACGACAGACTGGTCAATGGATGCAACTAAATATTTACTAAAAACAATTCTGACTTAAATGTTAGCTTTCTTTAAGGAAATAACTTGTTTCTTCATTTGCTTAGTCTTTTTCTAATCAGTTATGTACACATGGGTTTTATGTGACATTTAATGTTGTTAAATTAATGTTTATTGCCTTTTAAAAAAATGTCATGTGTATACCATGATGGTGTTTAATGTTTGTGTGAATTGACACTGCAGCTTCTATATAATAATATTAAGTGTCTTAACTGCATTTTGAGCTTCCATATATCATGTGACTCATCACTTCTGTGACAGATATTGATACTTCAATTGGTTGATAATACAACATTATATCAGATAATGAAATATGGTTTATTTCTGTAAATTTAAGTTAAGTCTGTAAGACCTTGTTACCGTAAAGTCTTGCTACCGTATTTTATACGGTAAAGCAACAGCTGCCGGTATTTTACCGTAAATTGAACACATTTTTTTTTTTTTTTTACAGAGCAACTACCCTCTCCAGCCTCTACTAGAGAAGAAATGCTGGAACTGCAGAGAGACGTCCTAGAGCTACAAAAGACAAAACTGCAATTAGAGATCGAAAAACTTAAAAAGGAGAAGGAAAATCAAGACTTGTACACCATAATTCTTAACAAACTGTTGCAGCAACAAAGTGAAGGTAAAAACAATAACATCAATTGACGAATTAATACATTTTATGACAGATCTGAAAAGTTTTGTATTTATTTATGTAATTACAAGGACAAATATATTAACAAAATACCAATAATAATAGCAAAATACAATAACTAATATATTTATATAGCCTAAACAGCACTAGCCTATTACATTACTTTAACTTGCAACTGCTATAGCCTACTATACATATTATCATTTATATTAATAATAATTATCGTAATAGACTAATCAAACATTTTATTATTAATATTACTACTGCTGCTAATATATATATGTGCATGTCCCTAAATGAATGGCGCAGATGCGTGATTTCATTTACAACACCTAAAAATGTAATTTTAGTTCAACTAAATAAATTGAATAAGTTTCATGATTTCAATTAATTGGAAATGCTACTAAAATTAACTAAAAGACTAAAAATAGACTTACAAAATGTTTACAGCTGGGTGCTTCCTGCACTTTTTAAGTTAATAATTATTATTAATAATGTTATTATTAACAGTTCTCAGATTTAAATATAAACTTTATTACAGGCTCAAGGCCCACAGAAGACAATACTATACGCAGAATCAATAAAACATCTCACATTCATATATACCCCTTCAATACAGCAACAACAGAAGAATAGAGCTAATGAAGGCATAGATACCAGTGATCCCATATTTTTGACATGTACCTCACGGAGCTACGACTTGGATCTACTATCTGAACAATAAGCTCATTCATGGATCGGTCCAGCCTGCTCATAAACTTGAAAGTGAGATTTCTCACCAAAGCCATGAAAGTGGTTAAACCCAGCCTACAGAACAGCTGGCTTGCCCTGGTACTTCTTGTTTTCTTCAGGAGAATCCTGAGACAGTCATTATAGGCTATTTTTAGCTTAAGCAGGCTCTCCTTCTTATATCTAATCCAGAGAGGAGCTGTAAAAAAAGAAGGCTTCAAAAAATATATGAAGGCATATATTAAATATATGTTTAAAATCATTTAAAGTAAGTGTAACCGCTAAGCTGAAAACAGCCGAGGGTTATGCAGAGGGTTGAAGTGGGCTATAGTTGACGCGCTTACCGTGGTCGATTTGGCTTGATTGAATAATGCAACAAAAGCTTAAAGTTCGGTTTTCTTCTCTGTTGTGAGAGATTTTATTGGATTTACACAAGGATTTCCTTTTCCATAACGGAACAGTATTCCATCTTCACCAACACTTTCACATTACAAACATTCAACCACAGCCTCGGTGGCGGTCAAAAACTAGTTTGCCCTTTTCCCTCTGGCAACACCTGTCCTTGATTACAGCTAACCTCTAAGTAGATAAGCCCCAATTGATGTGCCATAACCCTAGTGCCACCTAATGGCCAAACCTGGACATAAACATTAAAATGGCTCCTACAACACCGGCCCCCAATTGGAATGGTTAACAAACATTACAATTCAAAACAAACCAAATTAAGGAGCCATTACCAACCTGACATAACATATTATCCAACATTTGTTACAATGAGTTCACACATTAACACTAAAAATTGCCCATTTAACCTGCAGCCTCAAGCAAAAGGCAGAGCTTTGTAACAGGACGTTGAATGACACTTGACTTTGTTTGTAGACTCACTGAACGCACAAATCCCTTTTTATCCCGTAAAGCTTCCAACACTCTTCCTAGTGGCCAAGAACCTCGTGGGGCGGTAGGATCCATAATAACGACAATATCTCCAGGCTTCATTCCATTTTTGCCTCTCTTGCAGCAAAGGTAGATACTCCCGTATCCAACGTTTCCAAAAAAGTTCAGCAATATACTGGACTTGCTTCCATCTCCTTTTTAAATACAAGTCATGTGGCTCAAACAATCCTGGCGGCAATGATGGATTTCCTTTCATCAGAAGAATGTGGTTGGGAGTAAGTGGCTCCAAATCATTTGGATCATCTGAGAGTTTGGTGATAGGCCGATCATTTAGGATGGCTTCAGCTTCACACATAACTGTATGAAGCCCATCATCGTTCAGGGTCTACTGTTGAAGAACTGAACTTAAAATCCTTCTCAGCATGCGGATAACACGCTCCCAACCCCCACCATGATGTGAACCTGCTGGAGGATTAAAACTCCACTTAACTCCCCTTTGCCGTAGAACTCTCTGAATTTTTCCATGATCCAAAGCTGCGAGAGCCTCTCTTAGTTCTCGCTCTGCTCCTATAAAGTTGGTTCCATTATCAGATATAATATGAGAAACTTGACCTCTTCTACAGATGAAACGTCACAGAGCATTGATACATGCATCAGTGTTCAAAGAGTCAGCCACTTCCAGATGGATTGCTCTGCTTGCCAAGCAGGTTAGTATCACGCCATAGCGCTTGTCTGTACCACGTCCTTTCCTCACTGTAATTGGGCCAAAATAATCAATGCCAACGTTAGTAAATGGTTAACACAGTCTCATCCCAAAAAGTCATATAACTGACGTCTTGGGACTTCTTTTGACCATACGTCAATATCCGCCTTTTTAGGGCCCCCTTAAACGTCGGTAGATGGCGATCCCGGGCCGTCATACAACTGACGCTTTACCTTTAACGTCAGTTAGGTGACGGGTTAGGTTTAGGGTTAGGTTTAGGTCTGGGGTAGAGTTAGGATCCCATAACCTCATCTACCGACGTTTAAGGGGGCCCTAAAAAGGCGAATATTGACGTATGGTCAAAAGACGTCCCAAAACGTCAGTTATATGACGTCTTGGGATGAGACCGGGTTGAAATGGTGGTTTGTCAGGAAGAATCCTTTCCTCTGGCAAATCTGTCATTTTTTGCTCCTGCATCTTTCCATTATATTTCTTGCAACAGAAACATTCTGCAATGACCTTTCTTACAGCGGAGTTGGCGCTAGTGACCCAATACTTCTTCCGTAGTGTTGATAGCGTGTGATTCCGCCCACTATGGCCCTGCTGCTGATGAATATGCTTGAGGATGAGAGTGGCCACATTTTGATCCTTGGAGAGGATTAACGGATGTTTAACTCTGGTGTTGACTCTGGCAAAGAACCTTTAGTCAGCCGCCCTCCAACTCTGAGAAGCCCATCATCCAAGCGCGGATCCAACCTATGGATTGTACTACGCCTGCTCACTGTAGATTTCCCAGCGGACAACATGGCGATTTCCTCTCCAAATCTCTGTTGCTGACAGTATCGAATGATAGCCAGCTCAGCTCCCATAAGGTCATCTATGGACAAATTTTGCCCTCCAGGCTTGTCCTTTAACCCTTGCCTCCTTCGTGGCACATTATTGTCTGTAGTCTGCTTACCAGCAACAGCAGATTTCTCCTCCCTCCTCCTGCAGCATTTTGCCAACAGGATGGTTTTCCATTTAAGTAACCAGGCTACTACCACCTTAAGCTTACTCCAACTTGAGAAGTAAGTCAGTAACCGGTTTGTGGCATCAGGTAGGCCATCCACAGCCACAACTTTCACTGTGACTTCCTTCTTGACCTCCTGATCATCTGGTTCCATGATAGTTTCTACCACATTTGTTGTCCAGTTAGCTTCTGGTTTACGCAAAAAACTTGGACCCTCTATCCACCTACGGCCATGAATAAAGTCTCCAGCCCTCACTCCTCTGGATGCCTCATCCGCTGGATTTTCCTTGGAACTGATGTATCGCCATTGTGAAGTTTTAGTGGCTCCTCTTATAGTCGAAACCCTGTTGGCCACAAATGTATGAAAACGTTTATCCTCGTTTTTTATATACTTCAACACAGACGGACTGTCGGTCCAAAAAATGGACTGCTGCAACTGGAATCTCAGCTCAGCCTTCAACAGCAGATCAACACGAATGGCAAGCACAGCAGCAGTTAGCTCCAGGCGAGGAATAGTAACAGTCTTTAAAGGTGTAACCCTGGCCTTGCCCATCAGGAATGCAACATGAATATCATTTCCTTCATTCAGCATCCTGAGATATGTGACGGCACCATATCCTGTTTCACTAGCATCTGCAAAGTGATGCAGCTGAGCATGTCTTGATTGTCCAAAGCCCTTGGGCTTAATACACCGATCAACCTTAAATTCAGACAGCATATCCAATTCCTCCAACCACCTGAACCACTGTTGCAAGATGTCTTGTGGCACAGTCTCATCCCATCCATAATTTCTTCTGAAAAGTTCTTGTAGCATGATTTTGACAGGCAAAACCACAGGTGCAACAAAGCCAAGAGGATCGTACACCGAACTAGCCACTGACAACATTCCTCTCCTGGTGACTGGCCTCTGCTGGATCTCCATTTTGAACTTGAACGAATCACTCTCAACGCACCATTGCAAGCCAAGAGCTCCCTCAAGAGGAAGTTTGTCTCTATCCAGATTCAGTTCAGTCAGATCTTTAGCTCGGTATTCCTCTGGAGTAGTTGCAGGGTGGTGCGACTGTTACTAATCCATTTCATCAGAGTGAATCCTCCTGCCTGACAGAGAGTAATTAAATTTTTGACCATAAAGGCAGCTTCTTCATCAGAGGGCATGCTCTTCAAACAATCATCCACATAAAAGTTCTCCTTTACTGTTTGAAGAACTTCAGCTGGAAATTCAGATTGATTATCAGCTGCTGTTTTTCTCAGAGCAAAGCTAGCACAACTCGGGGAGGACACAGCACCGAACAGATGGACAGTCATACGAAACTCAGCTACTTCCTTGCTGAGATCTCCCTCTGGCCACCATACAAAGCGCAAGAAGTCTCTATCCTCCTTTGCAACTCTGACCTGATGGAACATTGCCTGTATGTCACCCATAACTGCAACAGGTTCCAGCCTAAACCTGAGCAGGACACCAAGCAATGTACTGGTCAAATTGGGACCTTGCAAGAGCTGCTGGTTCAAAGATGTTCCCATAAAGGTCGCACCACAGTCAAACACCACCCGCAGACTCCTCTTCTTTGGGTGACATACACCATGGTGCGGGAGATGCCACACCCTACCACTATTGTGATCCAACTGCTGATCTGGAACTTGCTCTGCGTAGCC